CTACTTCCAAAAACATTCAGCTTTGATATTAATGAGTTTTTTGGGTTCATTGAGAACATGGTTGTTGTTCAATAATAAAATTATTCCTCAGAAATACAACTTGCCTAATAATTCTGCACTCCCTGTACATATGTGGGCTGGTCAGGGTCAGTGCATGACTCCAGGGTGCTCCACAACAGCCCACTGTACTGGCAGGCCATTTACCCTCCTCCAGTGCATTTCATCCTCACAGATGGAGGGTACCCATCTGTCCAACATCCACTCCCTCTTATCATTCCCTACAAGAGGCCAGTCCAAGGTGTGGGTGCCCAGCGCTTCAACTCTCATCAATCCAGGTCATGGTCTATTATAGAGCATGCTTTTGGAATGATGAAGACAAGGTTCCATGCCATCTTCCTCCAAGCGCTGGAGGTGCACCACACCTTTGTACCATATATAAGTCATTAGAATACATCTTTATTGTTTTTAGTGTATGTGCATGTATAAACACTTTATTTACAGAACGAAACATCTGTTTCAGGTCATAGCAGCATGTGCTGTTCTGCATAACATCTGCCTTGGTGTTGGTGACATTGTGGCCCCGGGGAATGAGCCCAAGGATGATGTGCAAGATGAAGGGGAGACTGGTTTGCACCACTTTGATCTTGCATCATTCTGAATACATTTTAGTGACATGGCAGGCATTAGTCACATCAGCCCTGCAAACCCAAGAGATACATGATGCAGTGGACAATGGAGAAGAGCATCCCTGAACACCTTGTGGAGACCACCCTGTATGATGCTCCACTCAGTAGCTGGAAACGCAAACCAAGGGTCTCAGTTGTGGCACCTCCTTCTTCTTTTTGGTCCTGGTCCAGCAGATTCAGCAGCACTGCTCGGGACTTCATACTCAGGCAAATATCAGGCCTGATTAAAGGTGCCTGTGCATACTGGGACACTCAGGTTAATGGAGGTCATTAGGACTGGAGTCCTGGTAGAAGGCCTCTGCCCTAACACCTCATCCATGAGGGCAAACCAAAACTCATGATGGACCAGAAAGACCTCTTAGGACAGAGCTTGCATATGGGCAGAAATCTGTGCCATCAGAAACTGAATTTGAATAAGTTAAATTTGAATTTGAATTGCTCAGATTGAATCTGAATTGTAACTTGAATAA